TTTTCTTAATTTTTTCGTAAATTATTCAGAATATTAATATTAATATAGAAAGAAAATTAAGATAATAAAATCATTATCAATATTTCTATATTACTCACTCTCGATAAAGTTTTTAGAATAGTCGAATCAATATTTAATAAAGAAATAATATTATGAATCGAAAATTATCCTAAAAATAAATAATATATAATAAAATAATCGAACCAAATCCCAAGTCGTGGGTATATAATAAAAGCATAAGAAATTCATAATTAATATATTTAAAAATGATAATTAATTCCCAATAAAAATAGCATATCTTTATCCAAGGTATGATCAAAATGATATAAATCTAGTTATAGATTCGTCAAGGGCCTTAAATTTATCTAGTATAATTGTTTATTTTATTAACCTGGAGAAATATCTGGAAGGACATATCAATTCCCCAATCCGTTATAAGAGAATTTAGGAATCTTGACCGAGGCCTGTATGGGGCAAGGGAATATCTCAATGGGTTGGAGTCAAATAGATATCAGGAATATTAGCGATCTTTAATCACTCCAGCAGCCTTCGTCAAGCAGCACAATGCATATAAACAATATTGTTAACAGCAAGAAACCCGGTCGTCAGCACCACACTTAGCATCATTAAGCCCGGAACACACTTCTGTCCCCTCCACTCCTTTCCAGCTCTATCTTGCATGAAACGTCGATCCATGCCCTCTCCGAGATGCGGTCATCACTGAGACGTCTCGCATAGGTTTTATACCTCGGTGATCGACATTGTTGCACTGGAGCAACCACTAGATCTTGATGGCCGAAGGCACGGAACGTCCAAGTCTGGGTCGTGCTGCAGGCGACGCTCTACAAGTGAACCGTTCCCATCGGTGAAAAAGATCGGGGAGAGACCGTACCTTCAACAAGGCAACCAAACAGGTCCATGCTTGACATGTCTGGGCATTGGACATGTCTCTTGGCACATCTCTGCATGCGAGTCGCTTGGTGAGCAGTTGGACACAGCCGCGAGAGCAAGGCTCGGCCCAGCCCAAGCCAGGTCCTGCCGAGCCAGACTGAAGGTGCATGTTGAACGAGTGCCTTCTGCTCACGGCTGCCCTGGTGCAGCCAGACAGATCCACTTTTTGGGATGTCGCATCTCCACACGCGTCAAAGTCTCAAGACAATTTCTTACTCTCGATGGCTGCATTGTCTGGCTTGGTGGCAGCACTGCGCTCGCGCGCTTCCTTGCGGGCACGCCTCTTCATAATCCAGAACAACAAACTGGGACAACAAGTCCGCAAAACGCGGGCCAGTCTAGCATCTAGGGCTGCAGGGACCAGCTCAGGTTTTCTGCGGGCGACAGCTGCAAGAACCTTAGGTGCCAGAAGCTCGGGACGAACACCTTTGCTGGTGTGACCCTCCGGGTATTTGACGCCCTCGCCTCGCAAGGCCTTCTGGCTATGGCCAGTTGCTATATACCCCGGGCATACTGTCGTTACGGAAATGCCGTTCTCTGCAACTTCAGCACGTAGAGAATCATAAAAGCCGACGGCCGCGTGCTTTGCAGCTGCATATGCAGTTCTGCCAGGCAGGCCAAAGAAGCCTTGGACGGAAGACACTTGCACCACGTGACCTGTCTGCCTGTCTAGCCAGTCTGGTAGAAGAGCCTTGACAAGGGCAACACCTCCGAAGAAATCGATGTTCATGACACGCTGGTCGACGTCGATAGATGTTTCTTGACCTAAACCACGGAAACCTACTCCTCCGTTGTTCACAAGGATATCCACCCGGCCAAAGAAAGCCTTTGCTGTCTTGGCCGTTCCAGGCAAGGAGGAAATATCTTCCAAGTCCATGGGCACTACTCCAACCTTCACGTTCGGTGAGAGCTCTATGCACTTAGACCTAACTCTCTGCAACTCCTCCTTTCGCCTGGCACTGATGAGTAAAGCCTCCGGCTGCGCGCTCTGGCACAATGCAACACATAGTGCTTCTCCGAAGCCACCGGAGGCACCAGTGACCCAAATGATCTTCCCACGGAAGTATGTCTGTATCTCATCAACATCGCTTCTCCCAAATACTGCTCCCATGCCTGTGCGTACTCTTCTGTTTGCTTTTCGCCGATTGTGCGGCTTGTGGAGCGCACAGTGCGTAGCAAGGAGAGCAGCACAGCAGAAGCTGGAGCGTTGAAAGTGCGTGGGGCAGGACTGGCGAGGCGATGTTGCAGGAGCACTGCCAGGATACTTGCAGCCACTCAGGCGCACTGATAGTGGCGCGCAGGCCATGAAATTGTCGTTCGCTGGAGCTCTGAGCCAAAGAACATTTGTGAGCACATCCCGGTTCTGACTTGCACCTAGCTCTATTGAACGACACTGTGGCCATGAGTGGAGGAGTCAAAAGGTCACACTTATCTACCAACATGAAGCCTTCCGTGGCGAGATCGCGCTGACTTTCATGCATGCCGTCGCGAGCATCTTACCAGACTGCACCCTGCCCGGCTACCTGCTTATCTCTATTACGCCTAGAAAAGGTCGCCGGACTTCTGCCCTTCAAATGACATCCATTGCAAAGCACACGAATCACACATCCTCAAGCAGGGTTCTATCATCTTCATCATCGGCAAATATCGGCAAAACATTGGACAGGTTGCGCCGTAGATATCCAAGCTCCAAGAGTGGAAACTTGTGCGACACTGGCCGAGTGATTTCATTGAAGGTATGATACGGATGTAGCAAGTACAGTAGTGGCTCGTGCTGCTGCAGACTTGAAAGACGTGGATCCTTGCGGTTGAAATGCAACTGCGAGACCATGTTCACGCGCTGCGCTTCCCTGTGTCCTACGTCTGCAATCTCCACGATCAACATCTGCTTGCCCTTCGCGTCTGCCAGCCGAGGTAACTGCAGGAGACAGTGCACCTGCAAGCTTTGTTGCTTTCATATCAGGCCCCCGACGAAAAAGCGTTCCATTGCGATGTTGTTTGCCTTACACGGTCCAGCTTAGATAAGTACGGACTGCCAGGTTTGCATTGTGCCCTCAAACGGACCGTCAGCCACTGGAAGTGCAGAACTTCTGGGCAACCTCCGCATGACGCTGGACAGCTCGAAGTTTGTGCGGCGACCCGGCTCTCCTTTGACGCCTTCAGTTCTTGAGTTCCTTTTTTTGAACCCAGACTCTGCCACTCAGAAACCCGCAACATGAAGGTCTTGTGCCAAGGATCCGCGCTTGCAGGGGTTCGGCAAGGTGGTTGAACCCTTCTGCCAATACTTCGTAGCCGTCGTGGCAGCCAGTGAACAACACTGCCCCATGAAGCCTACCTCTGGACACAAGGCAGCGTGTGGCTGTCTACCCGCTTCCCTACCCAATGATAGTTTACAGCATGTTGTGCTCAAGTTGCGAGAAATGCCAGTGGAGACACCCATGCAGGCCAGCTTGGCAGCCTTCTGGACCAGGCAAGCCAGATCTGGACAAGCACCTGCCGTTGGAGTGTCTCTGTGTGCCCGGGACTAAATGAAGGCAAGCTTTTTTTGAACATGGTGGGGCCTGCAGAACCTGCCTTCTGCATGATGCCACTCCACAGATTAACAGCCGCAAGATCTTCGAGAAAAGCAGGCTGGTATGCAAGCCGCAAATCGGTTCCGCGCGCTTCCAGTTGTTCAAAATACGATCTCGCCCGTTCTGGTTCACCCAGCTCAATACAGATTGCTCCGTACAGCCCGGTGCCTTGCCACGCGGCCCGCTGGGCTGATGATACAGGTTCTTCAAGCAACGCTTCGGCAATATTCGCTAGTGCCATTATCTAATCCTAACCCCACCTTCTGCGTCTTCGCGAGAGCCACTCCGATCCCAGCAATCTAGGGCCACACGAAGGCGGAAGGCATCGGCATCGCGGGCCCAAGGACACCCCAACCACAGTGGCAGGTCGTGGTTCACCAGCTGAGCCATGAGTTGCTCGTTTCTTTGAAAGAGTTCTTGCTTCTGCCACTCATTCGAGAGGCTATGCGCCCAAAATGACCCTGCACCGACAGCTTCGGCCTCAACGGGACTTGAAGGGCGGATGGACTGGACAAGTCAGAATGACGTCCGAGACAGAACACCCGCCTCTAGCTGATCGAGGTCAGGACACTGCATCAGCAAAGCGCGTTGAAGCATCTTCAGTGAGATTTGTTTGAAGGCTTTGGGCTCCATAATCAAGCCTCGCTTCCGCATAAGCCGGCTCAGGAGCCTCAGGGCATCGTTCACTAACAGATCATTGGATCTGGCAAGTGCTGCCTTCATCAAGCCCTTGAGCTTCAACAGGAGCTCTGGATCCTCCTCAGGCACATCGTAGGTGCACAGAGTGACTTCTTGTGAATGCTTCACCCAGTGCGAACAGCTGTGCAAATATCTGCTAGGCACATGCCGATGTTAGCTACGAGCACAATCTGGGTACAACTCCTTTGGTTGGAGCTGCGGAAGTCCCAGTCGAGGGCCCATTCCGATGTCTTGAATGAGCTGCCGAAGGCAGTCCGTCGTGACCCTCGGGTGACCGCTTCTCTTACGAGCCGCTTTGCTGCAGGGCCAACCTTCAACCTCCCAGGCTTCGCGGCCCAGATCGGTTCGGCGCCAGCTGACTCTGAGAAGGGTTAGGGCCAGCAGGCTTGACAAGTTGTGCCACACATGCCTGTCGCGATGCAACCGCTCCTCTCGGCCACGGCTACCGAACCAAAGCTTGCGTGGCAAGTAAAGACTGCCCGCGAAGGTCGTGCCCTTGCCAGCCGGGCTGCAGCTGTAGTCTGGAATTCCGTGAGCCCAACTTTGCAGACCGGGGTGGCATGTCACTGACATCACTTCCGAGAAGCAACCGCACTCCAGCCTCCGTTGATCTCCGTTGACTCACCTGTCTCACCTCTGCAGAACTTTAGCATTTCTTGCCAGACATCATCGGACATCCTCGCGGCCATCGGCTCAAGCAGAAACACCCGCGAAAGTTTTGTTGTGTTTTATGACTGTAGCTGCTGTGGCTATGACAGTAGCAGGTAGTGTTTACAAATGCTCAGTAAAGCGTTGGAGACACAACTGTAAGCTGCCACAATTTCTACATGCTGCTCAAGCCCATAGCTCTGGTCTCTGGCTGTGCCAACGCAACTGCGGATTCCTACCCTGGAATACCCTGGATACTGCACCATTTTGCCTTCGGAAGCGGCCACCTGGTACGTGAACAACCGGTTCTGCAGCTGAAACTACACTCTGCACCCGCTCTGTCAGCGCGTCGATGGACATACGCATGCAGTGAGGATGAAGCGAATGGTTTGCAAGGCAAAGCCACTGCTCCACTCTGCCCTTCCAAACCCTGAAACCGAAGGCTGTTGAAAGCACCTGGGCAGCAGGCACATTTCGGGTGGCCACTTCGTGGCCGGAGGGGCAAGAACTGGAAAACCTTGCTGCAATAGTCTGTCCAGACACCTATGAAGAAGTGCAGCAAGGCCGTCGGCAGTAGTCGCACAGCATGCTGGAGGATCAAGGTACCGCACCGAAGCCAACGAGCCGCAAGTCTTGGGGGTGGTTCCAGGCCAGATTCCCGCGCAGCCGCACCTGCAACCAATGCAAATCATTTTTACGTCCTAGAGAAGTCTGGATCCTATCAGGATGCCCTGCCTGAGCTACATGACAACCAGGCCGTAAATAATACCTCACCATCTCTGATGCACTCTTTCGTCTGTCTGACAAGAAACTGCACAGCGCCAACTCTGAGACAAGCTGCTAGCTCAGCGCCATACCCTGATGTCAAGCAACGCTTTGCGAACAGTCCGCGTAAGCCACAAAGCGATCCTAGAAATCTACATGCCCTGAGGCATCCAGCAGTCTTGCCAAGGCGCCAATTTCAGTCGCCAAGTAAAACTCCCATTCCCGAACCAGCTCCAAAGCTAAAGCGCCAGGTAAAGGTCGCAGCAGTCGTGCGGGTAGCGGACGTTGCTCCAGGGCACCACCCTGAAACCAGATACTGAGCGAAACGTTTTCCTTAGCCAGCGATTCCACGTGATGCCACCACATCTGAGGCAGGAAGAGGCAATCGCCTGGCTCCAAAACAGCTTCAATTCCTTGTCCGTGGGCCAGAGCTGTACAAGGATAGTGACAAGAGGAGGCAAAAGGACCGTCCTGAGAAGGCGCGCCCTGATCAAGTCGGGCACGTGCACAGCGATCCCTGGGATGCGAAATGGGAAAGGGTAGGAAGGACGATGCCCCGACCATTGGCGGGAACAGCACGAAGCGTTTCATACCATCCAGCTGAAGGAAGAGATTCTGGCTCTGATCGTAGTGACATGCCGTTACAGCTGCTGCACCGCTGCAAAACAGCTGCATGTTCTTCACGTGGCCCAAATCACCTAGTTCACGCAACGGCTCCAGCTCATCCCATCTGAATGTTCCCAGGCCCTCTTGCCACAAAAGCTCTGCCAGTGGGCTTCGGACCAGATCGTCCTGGTCAGCCTTTGCGGCCAGTAGAACGGCCCACAAGTAGTAGGGACTTCGGCTGGACGACCGCAATCGCGCGACGAAGTCGGCAAACAGCATAGGTTCAAGCTGACCCCTCGCGGAAGAGTCTGAGAAGCACAAGTTCTTACCTTCATCTGCATAGTCAAAAGTCGTAGAACCTGGCCTGGCCACTCGAACACCCTCCACCAGCTGCTGTCCACACAGTCTCTCAAGGCTGTTCAGCGTCCATGGGTTGGACGGATCAAGCAAGCGTCGCCCAAAGCCCTTTAAGACAACAGGTCGCTGCGAAGTCGGGTTGAAGAATTGGCGCAAATGCTGCTGGTCATGCTCAGATAGGTCCACAATCGGACATTTGGTTCCCAGAAATACGTCCGAGACAACAGACCGGGGTGCAAGCACGGTGTGTGTCCTGCACTTGTCATTCGGAGATGCGAGCATCGGTGTTGAAGGCAGCGACTTTGGCGGCTCCACGCGCAGCAGTGACGCGGAAGGGAGGTTGTCCTCGTGCGTGTGGTGTTTGTTCTTTGGTGCTTCTGGTGCAGAAGTCAACAAAGTGAAATTCAAGCAAAGGACATCAACTTGAACTCCTCGAGAGCAACATTATGTGGTCGTGATAGCCAAGACTCCAGTTCACGTCGCAATCCCTCGGGCATTGCAGAACGCCATTCGTTGTCGATGTCCCTCCGTGTTCGCGGACTGGGCCTTAGACGTGCATTCTTTTCGGACTGGCCTGCACTGGCTGGAGTCTCTTTTCCGCATGGGGGGGGGGGGGGGGGGGGGG